TTTCAAGATAAAACAGCCACCCACCCTAACTCCACCATATGTCCAACTAGAGAGTAGTGATTCAAATAAACTGGTATTTCCATAGTCCTATTATTAGTAGATGAGCACCACCTATATCCCTAATTCCCACCTTATCACTTTCTTACTTAAAAATCTCCAATGGCTCCCTATTGCTCTTAAAATAAATACTTCTTAGCCTGGCATTTCAGGGTTTCCAGAATCTGGCTCTAATTTTATACAACTTCTTTTCACATATGCTGTGAAATAGTAAAAAAAAAAATCCAGGAAAAAAGAGAAACTATTTCAGGGAGATTTATCAGTGCTTTGGAAACCAGGAGATAATTGTTACTAGGAATGTCCACTGAGGTCTCTTCCAACTCTACCAGCCAGAAACGAGACAGTTTCAGTTATCAACAGACATAACAGAAAGTGAGAGCTCTGTCTACATTGGAGATAGAATCAGGAAGAGGAAACAGTAAGTGAAATTGGTGGTAGCTATAAAAATCTAGTTATTGTGCTAAGTCCTGTTGAGCTGAACTGAATGACATAGTATATACCTATAATTTACCTGTCCACAAGTCATTTGTAAGTCAAATCAACAAATATTTATTAAGTGCCTGTTATGTGCTAGGCATTGTGCTAAGGGCTGGGCACTAACTCAGTACCCTGAAATTTCCCCCCACTCTGTTGAACTTCTCTTTTATGTGTCTGTTGTGGTGAAGATTCTGGGAAGTAGGGATCAGTGGGGGAAAGTCTGTGTTCCCAAGATCATGAGCACGGAGACAGAATGCCAAAGAGCCTTCCATTTGGCAATGAAGTGAAGCATATGCTTCTTCTAAGCTCTCTAGAAGACTGACCCTCTCCAGGAGCAAGACTTCATTGAAGGAAAACTGCAATTGATTCAAAGTAAAGCAAGCATGAGAGAAAGCGTGGGAGGCTGGGACACGGAAGCAGGAAATATTGGATAAGATTTAGCAATCTTTTGTTCCATGGCTGTTGAATGTCAATAAGTCAGGGAATACTAATGTCTCTAAAGAATTGAAATTAAGGACTACACAAAGGGCAATGAAGAGGTACAGAGTGAGCACAATCTCACTGTGACATCGCAATTGTGGGATCATGAGGGAGAAATGGGATAAAGGATCCCCATACAAAAAAAAACATAAGTGAAAAAAAATGAGCTGGTCCCATGGTGAAAGCAAGGGCTAAGTGATAGATAGCCTTGTGCTCTCCTGGCATCCTTGTGATTCAAGCGAGAGTAAGGAAGGCCCAAGCACACTAATGGCAGGATTTGGACAAGAGTCATTCAGAATGGGTAGGTATGGGTGGGCTGCAATCTGCATTATTGGAGGGAATATCCACACTGATGAAAGGTCACAGATCCATTGGAATATTTGAAAATAATGACATAATGCCTTACATTATCATGAATGTATTAATTTCATAGGATAACTAAAAGTAAATATCTCAGTTAGGAACTCATAAGCATATCAGGAAGTAGTAATTTTCATTGTGTTTCCAAGCCCCCTTTCCTTTTGGTGTTTCTTCTCCACCATCTTTCCTTTAGATCAGTGACCAGATTAATTTTCTATTTGAATCTCTAGTGCTTAGTAAAGTACTTTGCACATAGCAAATACGTAATAAATGTTTTACTCATTTATTCATTCATTCAGACGCATGGGACCCCGGTTGTCTCTGGACTGCAGAAAAACTTAAGGTAACAAGTGTTATCTTCAAGAACAAACTTGCACATGACAAATGTCATTCTGACACCCTGTCAATTTTTCTTAGAACCCTTGGTCATCTTACAAGTGAAATCATCTTGTCATAGTAAAGATGAGTCCAGAAAGAAAAAAGAAGTATCCAAGACAAGTAAGAACAGCACAGTAATCTCCAACGGACCAATCAGGGAATGGCTGCGCTGAGCCAATGTTATGGCAATGGTTTTAGTCTCATCACAAAGGGCATGCATTGAAAAGAAGCTGTTCCATAGAGAGCACTTCAGTCAAAGATAGGAATTCATGAGAGGTTACCGCAGGTAGGAAGGAACGCCTTTCACCATCTCAGTCCCGAGTTCTCTGCCTCCTTGGGAGCTTCCAGTGCTACCCACTATCTCCTCTCTAGGGGTCTATTAAGCCTTCTATGTAACCCAATTGAGATGGGGGAAAATGCACTTTTTTCTTCAGTCAGTCAAGTGGGTTGGGGTTTTTAAACCTTATTAAGTAATTAAGGGTGGGAGTGGGGTGGGAGGAAGAAAATAGAAAAGCACAGAAACAAAAGAACTTACAGAATACAGGCTGCTCATCCTAACTCAGTAAGTTTAGCCCCTGCTGGTCTGTTTCAATGTCGCAGGTTAGAGCACACACAGTCCCCATTTCTTTTCTTTCTTATTCCTCTCTGGAGTGAGATGGGAGAAGCTGGACCAGGTTACTCAGAGGTCATATAGTTGGACCTGAATTTGAAAAAGAATCCCCTCTGATCAGATTTAGATGAATTTCATTTGAAATTCTGGCCAAGTATTATAGGATTTTCAGTCCCCTCCCTGAACCAGCTTCTTAAATTTTTTCCCATCTATGGTCCAGACCCCAAGTTTATCTCGTTAGTCTTAGGTGTTGTTGGTCGGTCATTTTTTCAGTCATGTCTGACTCTTTGTGACCCCATTTGGGGTTTTCTTGGCAGAGATACTGGAGTGGTTTGTCATTTTACAGAGGTGGAAACAAAAACAGGGTTAAGTGACTTGCCCAGGATCACACAGCAAGTAAGTGTCTGAGGCTAAATTTGAACTCAGGTCTTCCTGACTCCAGGCCTGTTGTTCTATCCATTGTGCCACATGACTGCCAGCCTCAAGTTGCATGCATTCCTGATCTAGACCTACTTGAATTATGACGTCCTACCCTGGTCCTTGACACCACCATACCCTCTTACCCCCAACACCAAATTTTACTCCAAGATCAGGCCATCTTACAGACATTTCCTTCTTCCCTTACCTAAAGCTTTCTCTGGGCTCTGGAAGTATTACCCTTGACCCATAATCCATTTTCTCAGTTCAGTTTAACTAAATTATATTTGCTATACTTTGGCAAGGGAGAGCTTTGATTATTACTCTAAGACAGTATTTCAGCCTAGTCTCATCAGTGGCCACATGGCTTAATGGGACATGGAGGCTAGGAGTAAATTGCTTTTTCTTGGAACCTGCCTGCATTGCACCAACTTCTAATGTCCAAAAAACAGATTCTTTGTGTCTTTCTATTGCAAAGACTTTACTCCCTTCTTAAGTCCACTTCCTTTTTTTGGAAGGATATGTCTACCACTCAGCTAATGTGCAGAGCAGAATGAGTAATAGGCGCAAAATTCTATGAATGATCATGCTTAAGTTAACTAGTTCCACCGACTTTCCAAACTTTTCTTTGATGATGTATAGTAGGGGTAGGAGAGGAGGGAAGGAGAATTACTTTTCATGTTAGATACTAAGGAAGAGAATCTCAGGGCAAGAAGGGATCTACAGGTAAAACATAACTGAATGAGAATACCTTTTATAACATCACCATGGTTATCCAGTCTCCACTGAAGAGGAATCCACTTTTGACTCTTGTTCCTAAATGCATTAAGATCTAGCCATACCCAAAATCCTACCAAGCAATATTTTACTGATTTTCATTTAAAACACATTTGACAAATAAAACAAATTTCCTCTATCAGCTTAAATATTACTTGTGTTGACTTAAAAAAAAAACCCCAAACCAAACAACACTGCTTAGTGAATACCAGGCTCTATATATAATTTCTCTGCCCTTAAGGAGCTTACATTCTAAAGGATACAAAACACTTTGTAAAGGGAGAAGGATCTGAAGCTGAGGGAAGAACCAGTGAAATAAAGGAATCAATATCATCAAAAATCAATAAAACACATGAAAAATGGGGAGGCAAAATTCTAGGGGGAGTAAGCAGAAGAAATCACTGAAAGTGTCAAAAGAACGGCTCAATAGCTACCACCTACCTATCCTTGATGCCAACACCTAGAGTAGCAGTTTGGAGGAATAAGTTTAGACTTCAGAAGTTTTATGTTTACCCCCAAAAGACCCAAGTAAGACCACTGTACCCTTACTTGTCAAATTCAAATGGTAGGAAATAGGTCATATTTTCTCTAATTGTTTATTTTGATCACCTTTGTGTACTGTGTACTGTTTAATCAATATTAATGTGGTTTTCTAGGACAGTGCTCTTGGTCTATTTTAAATCCTTTAGATGGTTTTAGTTTACATTTATTATTTTTAGTTCAAGGAAATGGCAAGGTAGAATTGAACTGGCTTTTGCCCAGACTGAACTCTGTATGATTTTTGCCCAGACTGAGCTGTATATAACTATACACTGGCCATTGAATGTGGCTCTTGCTAAGGGCCAGTACAGTACATTCTGCCCCTCTGGCAATGGTATGATCCCCAGTCACTCGTGATTTCTGTGGTTTCTTCTAAATACATCACATTTATAAGCAAAAGTTCACGGTTAGTTCACAGTTCAGAGACTTAGAACTGGAAAGGACCCGAGAGGCCATCTGGTCCAGCTCCTTCATCTTACAAATGAAGAAACTGAGGTCCAGGGAGCTTATTGACTTACTGAGTGTCACACAAGTAGTAAGCATCAGAGGTAGGATCTGAACCCAAATCCCCTAATTCCAGGGCCAGTGTTTTTCATTATACCATAGGACGCCTTTACATAATGTGTCTAGTGTCTCAATAATTGGCACTTTATTGAGAACCTAAATCTAATCAAGGTAGGCTTCGTAATTCCTATTGCCTTGGTTGCCTCAGAAAGTATTCTACCATGTCAAACTACCTTGTGGGATATTGCCCAGAGGAAGGTTTTTCAAAGCTACAGAAGTAAGAAAGTATGAGCTATTGAATCATTTTTTCCCACTTTTCTCTGAACGGGGGTTGCTGATATGATATTTACTATCATTCCAAGTTCAACAGAAGGTTCTTTTAGTCAAAGTTTCTTCTTACCATCACTTGAACAATATCTGCCATCTATGGATTTCCCCCGAAATCTGCAAAGAGATACATATAAACATTTTTAAGGACAGAGAAAGCCACAGAATCTCACAATTATCAAGAACTTCTCCCCATGTTTGTTTGATAGGATCAGCAGTGTTGAGGAGGTTAGTGGATACCAACCAATACGCTGATATCGACATCTATTTAATTCTAGTGAGGGTTCTGGGAAAAACTCAGATTCATGACAAGTTTGTTGGTAATAATAATAATAACTGACATATATAGTGATATAAAGTTTGCAAAGTACCTTACATTATCTCATTTGAGTCACACAGCCCTATGAGGTAGAGACTATGGATATTGGGCAGCTAGTGCCAGATCTGAAGTCAGGAAGACTCATCTTCCTGAGTTCAAATCTGGCCTCAGCTTACTAGCTGTGTGACCCTGGGCAAGTCACTTAACCCTGTTTGCCTCATCTGTAAAATGAACTGGAGAAAGAAATAGCAAACCATTCCAGTATATTTGCCAAGAAAATCCCCAATGAAGCCACAAAGAATTGGACACAACTACACAACAACTATGGCTATTATTATCCTCATTTTACAAGTAAGGAAACTGAGGGTCCCAGAGGTGAAGTGACTTGTCTCAGGGTCACACAACTAGTAAACTGTAGAGGAGGGGATTCAAACCCAAGTGTCCCTAACTCTAAGAACTCACTGGAGGTGTACAATTGTATACAATGGCTGAGTCTGCGGCTAAGGAGAATCGTCTTCCTTACTGATCTCCAAAAGATTCTGTCTAGCCTGCTCTGTTTATGCTACCAGTCTTCAAAATGTTGTGATAAGCTTCCAGGGCAATAACGATACTTAGCGTTTATCCCATCTTCTTTCATCTTCAAAGGTATTAAAAATAAATTAATTAATTCACTTTAAGTCATTAATTAATTCCATGAGACATAAATATCCATGCCTGGTTTGCTCCTTGGCACTAATGTGTTTATTCAGTTACAGCACATTAACAGATGGAAATCTTTGCTGGAAGGAGTTTAGATTTGTTTTATCTGTCAGTGATCTCTGTGATAACTAGGATATCTGCCTGTCTTAATGAGCATTCTGTAAAACTTAAACCACTATGCAAATGTGAACTATTCATTATCACAATGCTTGAGTGACCAACTGAGCAAATAGGAGATTAAAAAAAACCAGGAGATTAAAAAAGAAAATGAGCCATAGCCAGGGCCATATATCTTAATCTGCTTTGGGATAAGGCATTTGAGGATCTCATCCCATTAGGGTAGTTTAGATTGAGAGCAGGAAGGCATCTTGGAGGCCCTCTAGGAAGATCCCCTTATTTTACAGAAAAAGGAAAAAGGAAATGGAAGCACAGAGAGAGAAAGCCCAAGGTCATCCAGGTAAGTCAATAGCAAAGCTGGGATTTGAATTCAGATCTTCTCATTCCAATCTGATGTCTTTCCACTATTTAGTGCTGGAATGGAGGGCCTTTTTTTTGAAGGACAATGGATAAACAAGAGAATCCAGAGACGGGTGTCCAAGATGGCAAAAGGCCTCAAAATCATGCTTTGTAATAACTGCTTGAAGAAATTAGGGATGTTTAACCTGGAGCAGGGAAGATTTAGGGGAGAATATAATTATTTTAAAGTATTCCAAAGGCTGTTATATAAAAGAAGGCTGAGATCTACTTCTCTTGGCCTTAAAGGGAAGTATTAGAAGCAAAGAGTGCAAGCTGTTGAGATGAAGACTGAAGCACAATTTCCTAACAAGTATCTCTGCTTGCTGTGCCAAAGTGAAATGGGCTGCTGCAGTGGAAAGCAGGCTCCTATTCCCTCCAGGTCTTCAAAAAAGGCTGGATGGCCACTTGGTGGCCATGTTACAAAAGAGATTTTTTTTTCTTCAGATGCAGGTTGGATTAGTAGAGTTCTGACTGCTGTTCCAAATCTGAGATTCTATGATCTAAAATTTAAGGTAAAAAGACAGTGCAGAACCTAATTACTTATTGGATGAGTCAGCTGTTGTCCTGGATGCTTATTTCATTTCCTCTCCCCTCTATTAAGGAAATAGAGTATTTCACTTAAGTCCTACTATGATGCTTTAATGTGTCATGAAGTTAATCTTAGGTTTATCATGGCAGTTGGGTAGCACAGTGGACAGCGAGCTATAGGCTTGGAGTCAGATAGATCTAAGTTCAGATCTGACCTCAGAGACTTACTAGCTGAGTGATTCTGGACAAGTCACTTAATCTCTGTATATCTCAGTTTCCTCAACTCAAAAAAGTGGATAATAATTGCATATACCTCACAGGTTGTCGTGAGGATCCAGTGACATAAGATTTGTAAAACGCTTAGCACAGTGCCTGGCACATAGATGCTATAAAAATGCTTATTCCCTTCCTTCTTTCCCTTAGTAGGCAAAAGGACAATAAATTTTTGTAGGTCCTACCAACCAAAAAAAGCTTCAATCACGGGGCTGGTTACTGAATATGGGTCTATTGAAGAGATTCCCAAACTTATTTGGCTTACTGCCCCCTTTTTAAAAAATTACTCAGCACCGCTCTGGAAATCTTACAAACTAGGAAAGAAGTCTCAGATTAAGTGTACAATTGCACCTGAGGCTACTCCAACCCCCCCCCCATTGTTCCAGCACCTCCCAGGGGAGCAATATCGCCCACGTATCATCTGAAAGTCAATCAACTTAATTTCAGAGAAGTTTGGCATTGGAAGGTTGGGTGCTGGATGTGAAATTACTCTCATGGTAGAATCATGGAACTCTGACGTACAGAAGGATACAACTCAATTATCAATACCCCTTCTTGGTAATCTAACAGGTATGGCTACACCAACGTCATCTTAGGGGAAAGGGGCACAGAACATTCTGCGAAGACTAGGCTAGACTATTTAAACAAGATCAGTAATTCTCAAAGTATGGCCCAGGAACCTACAGGGGTCCTTGAGACCTATTTGGGAGTTCACAAAGTCAAAACTATTTTCATAATAAGGAAGATGTTTTCATTGCTAATACAGAAAATCATAATGGATGTAGCCCCATAGAAACAATAGCTCTTTGGAGGGTCCTCAACAATTTTCAAGAATGTAAAGAAGTCTTGAGACGAAAAAGTTTGAGAACTACTCAACTAGTTTATGGGATCATAAAGCTGGAAGATAGCATTTGAAGTCTTTCTGTCTCCTTGGTTCTGTGATTCTATGGCCCACAAAAGAAAATGGTATCTAGGTTTAGGCGCAGGAACGAGGTCCTTAGCACATCACAAAGGGATTTGGGGGTTAGAAATGTCTTTAGGGTAGGGAACATTTAGATAAATAGATAGAGAGATAGAGAGGGAGAGAGAGATAGATGTGTGTGGAAATATATGTAGGTTGATATATAATGTATATATATACATAATATATGTAAATGGATACATATGTGTATGTCTTTACATCTTAATATCTGTCTATATAGAAAGGAATCTCTATAATGTAAAGATATTATAAACTCTCCCCCCCAACACACACACATGCACACGTACGTTTTACTCTGACATCATAACCTCTGCTACAAGAGCCATGGGTTGTAAATAAAGACCTACTGAGCAAATGCTATTAGACCTAGAGAAATAATTTGACTTTTGAAAACTTTGCACTATTTCTATCTGGTGCAGTGAAGCAAGAATTTTCCTCCTGTTACCATTTTTTCCCTCATTCTATTTTCCTATTTAGATTGCCAATAGGCCTTATGTCTCCAGATTTCTATTTTCAGTTTGTCTATATTTGGCAAGGATCTCTGCTTGTGCATTTAACTGCAGTAAAATTCTGGCACCTTAACGTTTCAGTATAGCGCCCTGTAACAGTTTAAAAAAAATTTACACTTCTCAGTAGGTTCAATACCAACCAATGGATTTTCACATGGTAGTCGTGTTAGTTTTTGTCTTCCTGTAAGGATGTTACTGATGAATGGAAATCATATCCATTAAAAACAAAAATCTTCAGACCAGAGCTTTCTTAGAACCAGGATCCTGGAATTTCTCTTGAGAATCTGACAAGGCCCATCCAAGACGAAACTGTGACGCAGGCCAGGTTTATCCTTGGCACCTTCTTTGCTTCTTTTGTGATTTCCCTGTACCTATTCACAGTCTTCACACTGTACCCTCACACAGAGCTTGCTTAGGGTCCCTAAGATGTAGCACCCCAAACTTGTTTTTACATGTAATGGGGGGAAAATAAAATACTAAATAAGAGCTTAAAAAAAAAAGAAATGTAACAACCCATCTAGACTTTCCCTTTCCATTTCCTTAAAAGTCACTAGCCCCTCAGGATTCTCTTCCCTTTTCTGCTGATCTGATTAATTCACATAGCTGATATAACATTGGGGTGATGTGTTATCTCTCCCCGGTGGCCATTATTAGGAGCACAATGATAATGGCAACAACAATTCACCTACATACATATAGTGTTTTCATGTCCACTATCTTATTTGATCTTCAAGACTACTCTGTGAGGCAGGCAGGACAGGGATGATTATTCCCATTTTTCAGATAAGGAAACTGAGGATCCAAAATGTCATTGATTTGCCCAAGAGCACACAGCATCAGAGCTGGGGCTGGAACCCAGATCTACTGACTTCTGATTTGAAAATTTTTTCTTTCAAAGTTTTATTTATCCAGCGACTTCTTTTGAAGGCACTCAAAGACATCCCTGGGGCAGCTAGGTGGCTGCAGTGGATAAAGCACGGTTGTGAAGTCAGGAGGACCTGAGTTCAAATGTGGCCTCAAACCAAACACTTGACACTTACTAGCTGGGTGACCCTGGGCAAGTCACTTAACCCCAATTGCCTAAAAAACAAACAAACAAACAAAAGACATCCCCAAAGACACCCTACCAGATCAGTGAATTGGGATATTTTGAGGCAAGAAGGCCTTAAGGAACCTCTTAAACCTTATCACATAGGCAGATAGTAACTCTGGGTCCACAGGGGGCTAGCCCAAGTCCATCAGTCATAGAACTGTTTATATCTGTTTCTTTTGCATGTTCAGAGGGAGAAGT